GAAATTAAGGAAAAGGTCTGAGTTCTACTTCTGGAATAACACCAGAAATAGGGATGACACCAGAAGTACAGCAAGACAGTCCATTAACAGAGGTAAGCAAACAGAAGTGGGACCCTGAAGCCAGAGCTAATGTAAAATTGGCAGAATTTGCAGATATCTTGAGGAGGTCTTTGGACTTCCCTATGTGTGGAATAGGGAGTTCAAAACAATCCCTTCTGGATCCTAAGGAGAAGAGACCCCAGCTAACATGTGAGTTACAATACAAATCGGACATATTTCAAAACCATTCTATGTACAAGCCATCCTAAAATGTCACCTATCATGATATTACTCTTGATTCTTCTCCGAGTTGAAATTTCCTCCCATAAAGCCACTTTCTGGGGCCAGACAGTAATAATGTTGTCTCTAGAAGGCCACTGTCAGATGCCACCTGGAAGGAGAGAGTGGCATGTAGGACACAGTACCCAGATGACAATTTCACTTACGTCCCATTGACCAGAATATAGTGCCAAGACCACTCCTGGCTGCAAGGAAGTCTGAGAAATGTGTTTATCCTGAGCAGCCATGTGCCTGGCTAAATATTCTATTTCTATGTAGAAAGGTTTGGCAGCTTCTTATAAAGTTAAACCTACCCAGCAATTCCACCCCTAGGTATTTACTCTAGAGAAATGAAACATGTTTGCACAAAGACCTGTAGGTAAATGTTTATGGCAGCTCTATTCGTAAGTGTATAAAGCACAACAAGATGCCATTTTATAACCACTGGATTAGTAAAAATAAAAAATTCTAGTGAATCCAAGTGTTGGACAAGTAGAACAGTAGAGCTCTCATATATTGCTGTTGGAAGTGTAAGTCAGCACAGCCACTTTTGAAGAAAATTGGTATATCTAGAAAAGGAGAAGACGTGCATACCCCATAACCTAGCAATTCTACTTCTTGGTAAGCCTAGAGCAGTGATTCTCCAACTTGAGCATGCGTCATAATCACCTAATGGGCTTGTTAAAACACAGATGGCAAGGCCCTACCCCCAGAGTTTCTGACTCAGTAGGTCTGGGGTGAAACCTGAGAATTTGCATTTCAGCAAGTTTCCAGGTGATGCTGATGCTGCCAGTCCTGGGACCACACTTTGAAAACCACTAGCCTAGAAAAATTCTTGCCTAGGTTTATCAGAAGACTGTACAAAAATGTTCATAATAGTATCGCTTGTAACAACAAGAACATGGGAACCACTTAAATACACATTGACAGGAAAATGAATACATAAATTATAATGTATTGAAAGAAGTACTATAGAGCAGTGAAAGTTAATAAATTAGAGGTATATGACATCATAGATAAATCTCAAATATAAGTTTGAGTAAAGAAAGAAACAAATTGCAGAAGAATATATACCTTATGATACCACTAATATAAAATTTAAAAAATGTAACTCAAAACAATAAATTGTTTAGGAACACATACATATGCAATGACAAACCAAAATTGAGGCTGGTGGGAAAAGGGGAATACGACTGGGGAAACATAGGGGCTCCAACAGTTCTTGAGTTGGGCAGTAAGTTCATAGATGTTTGTCATATTATTGTTTTGTATGTGTAAATCATTTTACAATTATTTTTTGCTTTTCAGTTTTATTTTTTGTATATCTGAAATATTTTACTCTTTTCTTTTTAATCAGTTTTATTTTTCCAATTTTATATTATGTTAATTTCCCATAGAATCTCGGAAATGTAAAAAGCAAAAATATAAATATAATGTTCTACTCTTCATTTTTTTAAATAAGAAAAATATCCTAAGTATGTATTTAAGGACAACGAAACATACGAAAGAAGATATGCTAGGGTAGTATACTCACGTGTGTGTATGTGTGTGTCTTTCCATATATTCTTAAAACACATTTGTTTGATTCTGAACAATTAGTTAGAAACTGGCAGGAAAAAATGAGCAAGGATGAGCTGGTCGGGGGAAGAAATTAGGATATTAGGAATAAAAGGTGGAAAGTGTGTTAGGAGACACGTAGATTCAACGGGCAAATGAAGGCCAGGCTGCTGGGAAGAGAATAACTCTGAGATGGTCAAGGGCCGCCTGGTTCCCTGCATTGCTCCAGCATCTTTCTGCAGGGATGAAGGAAGTAGAGCTTGGGGGTGATGGGGCTGGTCTTTGTGGGTCTAGTGAATGTGGCCAGAGGGGACGGAGAGGTGGTTGTAGAGTTTGAAGGAAGACAACTTTGAAGCTGTTGACTATAGAGCCTGAGTGGAAGTTGTAAATCGTCTGGAAATTGAGAGGTTGGCTGGAGGCAGAAAGGGTTGTGAGGGGTTGAATGATTGAAGTCCACCCTGAGGGTCAAGCATGGTTGTGTGTAGAGGGGGAAGCGCCAGAAAGGGATTCCAAAAGTGGAGCAGGTCTTCGTTATCATAAAGCTCTGTGGGTCTAAGGCTTGTGAGGGACCAAGAACCTGGAGACATAACGGTGGGGCCTGGAGTCAAGGAGTCTGAGGAGTTAGTAGGACAGGTGATAAGTTAGACAGGAAGGGAAAATGAGGTTGAGTCAGTGTGTAAGTAGGCAGCTCTGGTGCTCGGGTGGAGTTCCTTACCACCTGCTGGTGAGCAAGGAACTGAGGGTGAATGATCTTTGTACTCCAGAGAGGAGCAAGGGTCTAAAGACAAAGCTGGAGGAAGGCAGCCAGGGGTGGAGTAGCCATATTCACATGTGTTCAAATCTCATTTACTACCTGTGATATCTTAGGTAAGGTACTTTTAACCTCTCTCAGCCTCTTTCCTCATTTTCAGACGGGAGATAACAACACCTTCTTAGAAGTAGCAAGCATTAAATGAGATCGTGTATGAAGTATTTACCAAAGTGTCTGGCACTCACTAGATGCTTAATAAATGCTAGGTCTCTCTTCTCTTCCCCTCAAATCAAGTACCCTTAGAGGCCCAGCATGAGGGATGGCCAGCATCACAGTAGGTAATCGGAGAAGAGGCTGACAATCCCTGGGCTCACTGATGGAGCCACGAAGCAGGCAGAGACAAAGAAAAAATAAAACAGGAATGACAGTGTGCTTGCAACATAAGCCAAAGAGAATATGCAAACAAAAAGTATTGTCTGTGTCTGTCACAGGGCAACTCAGAGATAACTCCGAGGAAGAATTTTCTGAAGCATTTCTTGAAGAATTTTGTTCATGGTGAGGGGTGTCAGATAATAGAAGGTGCAAAAACTCTCTTTGAAACTTGATGGGATTTTCAACCTGTTGGGCAAAGTATGGGCCTTTTCAAAGAAAAGTGTTTGGACAAGATGATGGACCATTTAAGGCTCTTAGATTTTTAGGTCTTTCTGTTTTTAGCCTAGCCCTAGAGCAGAGGTTTATAAACAGCCTTGCTCTTGGAGCAACCACAGGTGCCTCCTGAGAGAAAGAAATGGGGAGGGTCTGAAATCAGTGCCTAAAGCAAAAAATCACATATAATCAAGATTATCCTTGAAAAGCACTTACATCATACTTAAACTCAAAGTCAACATTTAGCCAAAAGAGTTAAAAGCAGGATCTTGAAAAAATATTTGTACACCCGTGTTCATAGCCACATTATTCACCATAGCCAAAAGGAGGAAGCAAGCCAACTGTCTGTTGACACATGAATGGATAAACAAAATGTAGTATATACATAGAATAGAATATTATTCAGCCTTAAAAAGGAAGGAAATTCTGACACATGGTACAATGTGGATGAATCTTGAGAACGTTATGCTAAGTGAAATAAGCCAGACACAAAAGGACAGATACTGTATGATTCCACTTATATGAGGCTCCTAAAGTAGTCAGATTCACAGAGACAGAAAGAAGAATGATGGTTGCCAGGGCTGCAGGAGGGGAGAATGGGAAGTTATTGTTTAACAGGCATAGAGTTTCAGTTTTGCAAGATGAAAAGAGCTCTGGAGATTGGTTAAACAACGATGTGAATGTACTTATCACTGAACTGTACACTTAAAAATGGTTAAGTTTATGTGTATTTTACCACATTTTTTTTTAAAAGTCAACGATTAGCTTCTTGTGTTATCTTGGGGCATGTAACTTATGGAAATTCAGCTGCAGGCATATGCCCTTTATTTAGCCCTGAACTTCCTGCCTCCCTCCCCATTCAAACCAGACTTCTGCCCCTACAGTCCCCAGAGAAGGAGCTTAACATTTTTTTCATTTTGGCCTAGCACCTATATTTGAATTCATATGCAAGATAGTGCTCCACTATATGTCTCATTCCTTTCTTACTAATCATATTTTATAGTTGAGGAAATGAGGTACCGCTGAGAAGCAGGAAGAAGGGTTTGGCTCCTAGACCACACACAGCACTTAGATGTCACAGAAAATACTTTATGCATGAACTGTTGAAGTAAATCATGAGAGCTCCACACTTCTTTTTTGAGCCATCAACGCCCACAAAAACCATATTTGCACTAACTCAGAATATATGATGTTTGGGGTAGAGTTGAATAAAAGTTGCATTTGCATTGCCCACAGAGGGGTTTCTAAGCAATGCAGTAGTAATGGCTTCAGCAGAAAGGCAGGGAGTCTCGATCAATCTTTGAGAATTCTAACCTTGATTCTTGTAAATTCTGATTCACAAACAATTGATACCCCGTCACCTTGATATAGAAATAAATTCTTCATATCCCTAAAGAATACTTCTAGGCAAGAAATTGTTAGCTCCATTTAAGTTATATACAGTTGAAAGAAAAACAGTTTCATACACTGTGAGTTTCTATCTCCTCAAAGCACCAAACAGTGCTCTGCCCACAGGAAGTAGTCAATAAATGGTTATTGAATTCAGAATGTCCTTCTTGCCAATTGAGGTTTAATATATTTCCAATTCAGAATGCCTATTAATTTTTCAGCATCACTAAGCCTTTTAAAAAATCCATTTGGGGATGTGTTTAAGAGTCCACAGCACATACTATTATATAAATGATTCAGAGAATACTGTTAAATGAAGCATGCTTATTCAACACACCAGTAGCCATTGATAAAATGTAATTTAATTTAATCATTTAAATTTACATTGTTAATGTACAAGAGCATTTCCTTCAAACCACAGGTTAACACACACTAAAGAGCAATGCTGTTAGAGGAGCAGAGAAACTTTGGAAAACTCTGCTGTCTGAAATAAAAGCAAGGCACTCTCCATTGACAGCTGGTGGATTCCTGATTTCCGCCCGCAGAAGGCATGTTCCTACTGAGAGAGCTCTCCCACAAGGGAAGAATCACCTGCTTTAATTCTTGCTGTCCTCCTCTGAGCTAGTTTGGTCATCCACTCTGCATAAACTTGTATGTCAACATTAAGACAAAAAAAGAGAGTTGATTTGATAGATGACTTGGGAGGCTCTCATAGTTGTAATAACTATGGAAGACAGAAGAGCGTTGGCTGTAATCTTTATTTTCAGCACTAGTGTCTGGACCTATAACTAAAAACCTTCATTCCTTCCAACCAATCGATATCACGGCTAAAAAATCTTTTCCTTAAATCTGATGGGTGTAAAAATAAAAAGTAACAGCATTTCCCTAGGGCTCTGTTTTTTTGTTTTGTTTTGCTTTTCCTTACAGACATGACAAAAAAAACAAGGATTAACTTTCCAATACTAATGGTGCACAAAAGGGTTATGTATGCACAGTATTTCTAATTTATTCAAATTCAATTTGAATTTGGTCTGAAGCTACCTTGTATGAAATGTTAGCTTTTCTGATATTTAATAATGTTTATTATGTTTGCATATAAGCTCAAAAAATTAATGCAAAAGTACCACTTTACTCATGGTTGTCGTCAGGTAAAATGTAAATGTTAATGGTTGTTTTTAAAAGCCTGTTTTGCTATACATGCAGTAAGTTGAATAAAAAAGACTATGGAAAGGAGAATTAGGTCCTAGTTTTGATTCTATTACTAGCTGTTTGATCTTGGGTAACTCTTTACCCATTGCTAGGCCCCAGTTTTCTCCTCTATGAATTTCAGGGGGTAGACTAGTTGACTAGTCAGGCCCCTTTTAAGTCTAACATTCCAAAATCCTAACTTTCCAGATCCTATCATCTTGATATAAAAATAATCATCTTTCATAAAAGCTCATCACACAAACATAGTACATGATCAAATATCAGAATGACTCTTGGAAAAAAAAAATATATGATTTGTTATCTGGGTTATCCTTTGCAGCAATCAGGCAATTCATTTGGCATTTGTTTGATTGTATAATTTAATGACAATATAAACAGCATAGTTTTGTTATTTTTCCTTTAAAAAGACTAAAGCAAAAATGATTTAAAGCTAACAAAAACTACTGTGACATCAGTTTGACATTCAAAGTTTGTTTCTTAGCAAAATGGCCAAAGATATTTTGATTTGATACAGAGTATATAATATAAAGACTTTTAGACCTAAAAATCTTCAAACATTATTTGAATTTAGCAAAACATAAGCAAAATTTTAATATCAAAGTGCTAAACAGTACTGCCTTAAAAGTCACTGCAAATGAACCATAAAATAACCGCATGGGAAGTAACGTTCATTGTACAAATGGTTAATAAAAAGACACATTATAAATATATATATGTAACCTGTTATATTTATATATATATTTGCTTATTTAATTTCTAATTGGTGTATCCAAGTCACTGTGAACACCCCATTTAAGTACTCTGTAACGCAGCTTCCAGGAGCTGGTGGTCTTGCAATAAATACAGGCAAAGCTATTACAATATAACGTGCATACAACTGTTTATACAAATAAGGACACTATGCAACAAATTATCTCATAATAATATGGCATTAACAGGATAAACATACAAAAGGAGAACGGACACGGAATGTTGAAACGCAGCCCACTAATCCTTTCTAGTACTCACATTCATATTATTTTTTTAATAAGACTTGCTTGCTCTCCAAAATTGTCTCTTTAACCAATAACAAAAATTAAATTATATATATTTTAAAAACCTTATTATCCCTGGTGCTTACCCTGTATGATCCAGTTCCTACTTATTTGCACGTTCTCATCTAGGGGTCCAACACTTGAGACTCACTGAACGCTCCTGGGGCTTCTGAATGAATGTGTCAGGCAGTTGCTATAGCTGAAGTAAGTTTAGGAAACTCTGGCTGGATTGATAGAACACAACCAAAACAGCTGTATGCAATCTGTTTTATAAGTTGAGCCCCTTTCAGGACAGCTGGACAGTCAAAGCAGGGATCTGGATCCATCAAGAATGGCCTAAAGTCTTGGATGGACCATACCTCAGAAGAGTTCTACAGGGCAGGTGGACAAAGCCTCTGCTAGGAAATTAGCATGTGTCATTTGCTAACATGACTGCCTCCTTTTTATTTCTATATAAAATAAAGGAGAGTTAATAAACAAGATTTAGTAAGACAGCACTTTAAAAATTGCACTTGTATATGGAAGCAAACAGCCATTATCATTTTGCTATGTCTGATTTATAGGTAATCCTCCATCTTTCACCATTTGTTAAAATAAAATAAAGGAAGAAAGAAATTAAGAAAAGGGAATTTCTGCCTTGTTTGCACCACATATGTACCCTCGATACAGGAAGTGTATTCTAAAGGGATCCATCTCCAGACACATCCTCCCCGGCGAACAACCCTTGGCTGTTCTTGTTTTTAAATACAAAGCCACTATAATTGTATTCCCCAGAAAGAGTTTTGAAACAGTTATGTTATCCTTTTTTTTTCCTGCTGGGATAGCATCGTCCAAAAGTGCTTTGTTAGCAGTTTCTTAGAAAAGCCTCATGAACTATACCCCCCTCCCACCCGAACTCCAAAGCCTAAATATAAAACACAACCCCAACACAATACTCTGCAAGTTTTCTGGCTTTAGGTTGTAAGGAAAAGTGCCAGAAAAAAAAAAAAAGTCTTTCTTTTCTACAGGAGCTGCTTTTTCTCTTAAGGAAGGACAGAAAATGGTAGGTGTCCAGACCCATCCCTCTGCTGCTTAGCAAGCAGGTGCTAGCAGATGAGGCGGCTCCCTGCTCAGGCTGCTCCTGCTCAGAAAGGCAGGGTGTCCAGGAAGAGCTTGTCGATGATGGAAGGTGGAGACACCAAGTCTTCCAGCTTCAGGTAGAAGATGCGCTGGAGGCCCAGGGTGCAGATCTTCCGCAGTTCAACCAGGGCACCCAGGACCTTGGGCTCCGTGGGCTCCAAAGCCTGTCCCTTACTCTGGTGGTCTTTTAAGCTGCTTGTGATCTTGTTGCATAGCTCCTCCACTCTCTTTGGTTCTTTTAACCCATGTCGTTCTGCAGAGGGATAGAAAAGGGCAGGTTTAGGAGGCAGTTACATCTTAAAAAACTCTGAATCCCTAATGGAGGCCTGTGTCCTGTTCTGCCAGTTGTAATGGCATTTTATAATCCAAGTGTCCTCCCTCTTAGGGGTAATTGATGGCCTTTGGTATCAAATAGCACCAGGGTTTGAATCCCAGTCCTGTCACTTACTCACTGTGGGCCCTTGAGTAAGTCTCTTAACTTCTGAGCCCCAATTTCCTTATAAAATGAAAATAATTATCATATCCAATTCAGGGTTTCTGGGAAGACCAACTTAGGTGAATAACGAGATGAAGCACACAGTTCCCGGCACATGGCACATTGAATGAATGACAGGGGGCTTATTATTTTGCCCACATTATCCTACTGAGGTCTTACAAAAGCCCTGTCAGGAAGCACTCTTTTCCAGAGTGACACGGAAACACATCCAGGCAAACGAATTAATGTTCCCATCTTGATGGACTCACTTTTTGGGGGCTGGGGGGTCGTAAGTTCCATTTGCTGACCCAAGGGCTGCCCCGCGAGACCCAACACAAAGTGCATTCTTTTTTTTTTTTAAGGTTGTAAATTTCTTTTTATTTTTCATTTTTCAAATTGTTTTTATCATGGTAACTTTGGTTAATAACATTATTTAAATTTCAGGTGTACATCATTATATTTCAATTTCTATATAGATTACATCATGTTCACCCAAAGTACATTCCTGCGTTTTTTTGCTAACCAGCGTTGTGAAGAATCCAGCTTTTCTTTCCCTTGTTTTTCCCCCCTTGAAACTCCTATTGACCTACACCTGCCACTCTGTACAAAATACACATGTCCTCCTGCTGTGGAGATGGAAAAGTCAAAGAGAAGGGAGGAGGCCCAGAAGGAGGCGGTGCAGGGATTTTATAATGTAGCAAGACATGAACTCCAGTATCTTATATTTTATAAAACAATATATGAAATGATCCCCATGTTAAATATTATGATCTCTTATTTTATGTATAAGGTTAAGTAATTTTCCCAAAGTCACACAGCTGTTAAAAGCTGCGATTTGAACCCAGGCTTCTGAGGCTCATTCTGTCCTCTTGCTCCAGAGCAATGTCACATCTTCCTGTAATGAGAAAGGAGCCTGACATCCAGTACCAATCACTTTGCTCTCTCTTAGCATGTAGATATCAGAGCTTCTTTCCTGAGGGAAGACCGTGGCCCTAGTTATCTCCAAGTTTTCACCTCTCAGAATATTTACATGTAAAAGAGTAATTCTTGAGAGATGGAAGACATCCATCCAATGGGAAATCCAGTATTAGTTTCTAATTTTTCCTACGTTAATTTTTTTTATAAAATAACAAAATATTTTTTGTTAGAAAAGTTATTCCCTTAAAGTAAAAGTCATCAGAAAAATGAGGCAACTATCCAGATATTTTTTTCTTCTCTTGCCCTAAATAAAAGGAGGCCCAGGGACCAGGAGATCTGCATTCTGCCTTGGCTAGTTGTGTATGACTTGGATGAGTTCCTCCCTCTCTAGGGCCCATCTTAAAAGGAGGAGGTTGGGTTTAATGACCGCTAAGGTCCCTTCCAGCTCTGATGTGTTATAATTATATTAAAGTACAACCATGAAAATTGCCAGCAGCATCTCAGTGGATTGTAACTTGCAGGCGTCTCATCTCAATGCAACATCATATAGAGAAGAGGGCACTGGACTTCGAGTCAGAGAGGCCCGGGTTCCAGTTTTGGTTCTGTCACTTACTAGCCATGTGACTTATCTCTCTAAGGCTCAATGTCCTCCCAGGATAATGGGGATTAGATACACAAGTCTTTGTTGAATTCGTCTTCATTCCTTTCTGTGTATCTTAAATATTACAGAATAAATTAAAAGAAAAAGTGCGATTATAATAAAACCCACCTCCATGGGTTATTGTGAGGCTCAGTTAAGGTGATGCTACATGAAAGTGTTCTGCCAACTGTAGCATGCTACACGCATGGTACAGTCAGCAGCTAAGACGCTGCCTGACACATGGCAAATGGCTGGCAACTGCAGGGTCCGATGAAAGGCAAGAAAGCCCCTCACTCCCCAGCTTTGCAGTGCATGACTTTGCTTTCCCCAGGAAACTATCAGCTAATCAGCCGAGGTGCAAACCTGTCCTCTATGGTTTCTCTTTACTAAATACGTAGCCCCCTTGTGTCAGTCTCAGAAGGAGCACCCAAGAGTGAACTTGAAGAGAAATTTTGCCTGCAATAGTGTTCTGCCTAAAGCTTTATTTTCCCCCCAAAAGCAAAAAAGCAGACTGCAAATTTGCCAGTAAATTTCAAGAGCTATAAAACGTTCATAGCCTCTGACCAAGTAATCCCACTCGTGGGAATTTATCTGAAGGAAAAATTCAACAGAAGAGTAAAACTGTATGCATGAAGACATATGGGGTAGCATTATCTATTTAGGGAAAAACTGAAAAAGATAAAGGGGATAAGAATAGGGAAGTGTTAAGTAAAAAGTGGTGCATACATACAATGGAGGGGTCTGTAGACATCAAAAAGGACAAATGTGAATGCTATGAAGCAACACAGAAAAATATGTAATATCACATTTAATAAAAAATAGAATATAAAATGGTATCTAAGCTGTGATTACATCTACGCAAAAATTATTTCCGCATATAGAGAAGAATGAAAGGAAACAGAAAAGTGAAAATATTTATGAAATTGTCAGATAACTCTTTTCCTATCTTTTAAAATTTCCGGGTTAACGCTATTTGTATAATAAACAATGTTAAAATAGAACAAACTGAGATTTGGTCCTTTGTGAAGCCCTCCAGTAGCTGTCACATGATCAAACAGTTGTCTTGTGGATAGTAAATTCTATTAACACTGAGATATATCAAATTGGGTTCATAACCCAGGGAGAGATGCTTTTCTCAGAATAAAATGCCAATCCACTGATTGAAGCTTTCCCTTCCTTTCAGCGTCTCATGTCTTGCATTGTGTTCAAGATCCCATATTCATTATCAGGATAAAGAAATGGAGCAATGTGTTGGCTGGATTTCGGGAGGGGGTTGATTATAGAACCTTGTAACCAGACTTTCTCATGGCCAAACTCACAGAAGGTGCCTCCGAGTTCTCCCTGCTCTCCAACCAGTTGTGACTGCTCAATAACTATGGCAACCATTATTTATTCAGTGAATTCAAGTGGAGATCGATACCTCCTGCCAGCTGGATCAACCCTAGGCCTGGAATTCCTTGAGGAATTCAGAGACACTCCTGTTAGAAGCCAAAGGCACCTTCTTTGTTGTTTTGAACAGCTACTGGATTTGTGGCTTCTTTACTTTTTCAAAAGGTCTGAGATAAAATTCAGTCTCCATGCAAACTACTGCCAGCAGCCAGCAAGATTTTCAAATCACTAGGGAGTCACTAAGTGTCTGGGACCTCCCTAGTAATTTGAAATACCTTAAAATCCCAATCACTGACATTTTAGTTTAAAGGAGCCCCTTTCTTCTTGTAGCTTGGTAAACATGGCTGCAGAGCCGATATACAGAGAGTTCGTAAATTCTGGGGGAAATCAGACATGGAGATTTTCCCCCTTCCTAGAGAATTATACACAGATTTTAGTTTAAGATCTTTGTCCACCATGAAACAAAACAAGCTTCTCGGTATTTCTTGCATTTTGATCTACATCATTTTTATCCTTCAGTATTTTAACTCGGCTTTATGTATTCAACACTTTAAAATACAACTTATAGAAATAGTTAAGTAATGAATTTATGTGTCATAACCATAATATACATGAACTGGAAAGAATTTGAGCCATTTAGTTCAAACTCCTGCCTAAGACAAGAATCTCCACTACAAGGTACCACAGAGAGAATGCTCAGCACCAGCTGGACTGGGAGTTCACTAATTCACCCTGATAATAAAAATATATTTAATAGCACATTATATTACACTCCTTTACTTAGATTATTTTATCATACCCTTATAATAACCCTGTGAATTAGGCAGGACAAAGACTTTATTTAATAGATAAGAAGGCTAAGGCTGAGAGAGTTAAGTGACTTACCCACGATCCAAATTAACAAGTGGCGAATTTCTTTCACTCCCAGAGATATTTCTATTACACCAGGCTGCCCTGAACATTATGTTAGAACGTTCCTCCTCATCCTGAGAGGAACTCAGCCTCCCTGTAACTCCCTCCTGCTTTCTGTGTACCTAATCCGCTAATTGATTAATTAGTTCTTTCGGCAAATATATATATATATATTTTTTTTGTGTGTGTGTGAGGAAGATCAGCCCTGAGCTAACATCCATGCTAATCCTCCTCTTTTTGCTGAGGAAGACTGGCTCTGAGCTAACATCTATTGCCAATCCTCCTCCTTTTTTTTTCCCCCAAAGCCCCAGTAGATAGTTATATGTCATAGCTGCACATCCTTCTAGTTGCTGTATGTGGGACGTGGCCTCAGCATGGCTGGAGAAGCAGTGCGTCAGTGCGCGCCCGGGATCCGAACCCCGGCCGCCAGTAGCGGAGTGCACGCACTTAACTGCTAAGCCATGGGGCCGGCCCTCCGCAAATATTTATTGAGTACCTGTTCCATGCCAAGCAATGTTACAGCCACTGGGGCTGACCAGTGAACAAAACAGACAACAGTCGCACTCCTAACCTGTGTGGTGTGAGTACCTAAAGACACTGTCAGAGGCCTGTGCATTTTAGCTATCCACGCCATAGACACCTCTGAAAGAGAGAGGAAGGGAGGCAGGAAGAGGAGGAGAGAGAGGAGGGAGTGGGATGGGGAGGTAGAAGGAGAGAGAGAGGAAGAGACTGACTGAGTGAAATAATAGAGCTATCTAGGTCTGTCCTCATGTTATTCCCTCTTCACCTAGTTAAGATCTATTCATCCTTTAGATCACAGATCAAATATTTCTTCAAGGAAGCTTCCCTTTTAACTTCCAGTCTAGAATATGTTCTCCTGTGGCACTCTATTTTCTCCCTTTGAAGGATTTAACAGGTT